TAGTTTTTTTAATTTTTTTTTTTATGTATATAGTTGGTGATTTTCGTTCCTACTTTCACCTATGGTCATGAGCTCTGGGTAGTGACCGAAAGGACAAGATCGCGGATATAAGCGCTCGAAATGAGTTTCCTCCGCAGGGTGGCTGGGCGCTCCCTTAGTGATAGGGTGAGGAGCTCAGTCACATGGGAGGAGCTCAGAGTAGAGCCACTGCTCCTCCACTTCAAGAGTAGCCAGTTGAGGTGGCTTGGGCATCTGTTCCGGATGCATCCGGGCATGTCCCACCGGGAGCAGGCCCCGGGGAAGACCCAGGACACACTGGAGGGACTATGTATCTGGGCTGGCCTGGGAACGCCTCGGGGTTCCCCCGGAGGAGCTGGAGGATGTGTCTGGGGTGAAGGAAGTCTGGGAGTCCCTGCTTAAACTGCTGCCCCCGCGACCCGGCCCCGGATAATCGAAAGAAAATGGATTAATGGATGGATGGGTTTTAGGTTTTTTTTTTTATGTATATAGTTGGTGATTTTAATAGTTATCTGGTTTTGGGTTATTTTATGGAGATTTAGGTTAAGATTTTAAGTTAATGATCATTTTACCATCCATATTTTAGCTACAGTAGTTTTATCCAATCAGTAAGAGCAGCATAAAAGGCGCCTCAAGACATCAGTCTGTGTTCTGCTGCTGGAGAGGAAACTGCTGCCTGCCTCCATTTTTCACCCTGCACTTTTTTTTGCACTTGCACTTTTTTTTTTTTTTTTTTTTTTTTGTAACAATTGGAAAACAAAAACTAAACCGTGGACCACTGCTTCCTGTCTGTGTCTGGATTTTTTAACCTTACTCACCGAACCCCAACCCGCTTTACGGTCAACCTACGTCACTCTCAGTATACCATAAACCTGTATGTTGCATTGATTAAATTACAGAGGCTTTATTGGCCAAGAAAATGACATTGAAAATGTGGAAGGTGTGGCCATCAGGAGGAGGCAGAGTGTAACAAACAGGACGAGTTGTCACCTGTAAGTAACACTCAGCACCTTCACTAAAACACTTTAAAACACTGCACATCTCATCGCACACAGCACTTTAAACATATTTGCACACAGTGTTGGGGAGTAACAGATTACATGTACCAGCATTACGTAATCAGAGTACAAATTATGAGTAACTGTATTCAGTTACAGTTACTGTTACAATGAGTGGTGATTCGATTACAGTTACTTTGTTGAAATAAATGGATTACACAGAGGTATTTTCCTGTTTTCACATTTCACTTTTTTTTTTTCGGTAATTCCACTCATTCCCGGAAACTAAACCATGTCTAAACCAGGTCTAAAACCAGGTCTAAACCAGGTCTAAAACCAGGTCTAAACCAGGTCTAAACCAGGTCTAAAACAGGTCTAAAACCAGGTCTAAACCAGGTCTAAAACCAGGTCTAAACCAGGTCTAAAACAGGTCTAAAACAGGTCTAAAACCAGGTCTAAAACCAGGTCTAAACCAGGTCTAAAACCAGGTCTAAACCAGGTCTAAAGCAGAACTAAAACCAGGTCTAAACTGGGACTAAACTAGGACTAAACCAGGACTAAACCAGGACTATAACCAGGACTATAGCCAGGACTAAACCAGGTCTAAACCAGGACTAAAACAGGTCTAAAACCAGGTCTAAACTGGGACTAAACTAGGACTAAACTAGGACTAAACCAGGACTATAACCAGGACTATAGTCAGGACTAAACCAGGTCTAAACCAGGATTTAACAGGGCTAAATCATGCTGTGCGGACGTGTCTCCTCGTCTTCTATCAATAATATTTTTAATTTGGTTCAGTAAAGTCTGGGCTTTTCATTTTCTTTTATCAGACAAAACATCTTATGTTACAATATCCTCGTCTTTGCTTCTCTACAGCAAATCAAGTAATCCAAAGAATTCAGATTACATTACTCACTTTAAGTAATTTAATGGATTATGTCACAAACTACATTTTGGGCTATGTATCTGTAATCTGTAGGGGATACATTTTAAAAGTAACCTTCCCAACACTGCTTGCACATATTAAAATAGACATTGCACATAATTGGTTTTAAAACTGTAATTACTGTCTTTCCTTTAACTGCTTTTAATCCTGAGGCACAGTGGCACTTTCACTGACAGCTGCTGGGCCCTGGAGGAAAACGAGACATGATTAATTAACCAATTGCCATTTAAATAGAGTAGAGCAATAGATACGGTGCAATATATCTGTTTCAGAATGTTTTAAATGTTGATTTAGGCTTTAGTGTATTTTATGGTGTTTTAAAGAATGGACTGTTTTTCTACTTACCTCCTTTTCTTCTCTCCAAGTCCTAAAGAGTCCCCCCTGAAACGAGCTCTGCCTTTTCAAGTTTTGGGCTGGACCAAGTTGAATATAGTGTCCAGGGATAGTGGGATAAGTGTTTTATTAGTTTATGGGTTTTAAAGTTTACGTGATATGTGGGTTTAGGGTTTTATGTACTGTATATAGTTGGGGTTTTAATAGTTATTTGGTTTTAGGTTTGTTTTATGAAGTGTTAGGGCAATATTTAAAGCTAATGTTCACTTTTACCATTCCAGTTTTAGCCCAATCAGACAGAGCAGATAAACAGCGCCTCCACACGTCGTTCTGTGTTCGGCTGCTGGAGATGAAACTGCTGCCTGCCTCCATATCACACCCTGCACTTTTGTGAACTATTGAAAAACAAAAAGTAAAACTGTGGAGTACATCTTCACACCTTAGTCTGTGTTTTTAACCTCTCTGACTGAACCTCAACCTGCTCACGGTCAACCTACATCACACAGACTCATGGTCAAGGGGTAAGCATAGCAAAAATAATAGATATTTACAAAAATGTACTGTGCTCAACTTTAAGGAGGCGGTTGCTAGATATGGACCAGACCAGAAGACAGGCAGCAAGAGGAAGAAAACAATGCTACATAACATGAGGATGGGGGAGGAGAAAAAACAACCCCCAGACCATGCTCCTGTCAGGGCATAATATGAGAGCAGTACACAGGGGTAATTCATTCATAGGGATTCAGATTAATAATTTATGTTTTATGTTTAGGTTTTCTACTGATTTGAAATGTTTTAGATTGTACTTGAATTGAAAAATGTTGGGATTTGTGTTATTACATTTATAGCAATGAATAAAATCTTTTCCACATTAAAGAAAACTATCTACATTAAACTGAACATTCAAAAAAAAAAAAAAAAGAAAAAAAAAAAAAAAAAAGTGATATGCTAACGTCTCTATGGAAACAAGGAGAGGTGACAGTGCACCTTTAACATCAGATATGCGACAGAGTAATAGCAAAAACATATCAGTAATTTCAAATACTTGATTTTGTAAGGTAAACGTACAGATCCAAGAAAAAAATATATACTAAAGTAAAACTGTCACATAAAAAAATCTACTAAAATAAAAGTATTAAAGCACCTGCTTAAAAGAGTAAAAAGTAAAAGTATTTGATGCAGATTTTGAGGTCTTATGAGGCTTCAAATGCAGTGATTTGTGCTGAATTTGTTTAACAGAAGTGATTAATATTCTTTTACTAGCTGTTTTTATTTGTATATTTTTGTTTGCTGAAAAAAATCTACTTTAATACTTCTACTTAAGTACCTGTTTAAAAAATGTACTTAAAGAGGAAAAAGTATTCTGTATTTTAGAACAATAAGGGATGAAATGTAGTGATTTTTTGTGATTTAATATTGTTCAAGTGCAGATATTGCAGGTCTTGGGTCTAGACCAGGGAGTGTCAAACTCAAATTCATAGAGGCCAAAATTCAAAAGTGGAATAAAGTTGTGAGCCAAACCAAATACTTATTGAAAAATTCCAACATCTTCATATTTTCTCTTCTTTCGAGATATGTAATGTTCAACCTTTTCTTATTAAAATAAATATTTAATAATAGTTTTGCTTAAACATTGAATCCAGAACAAGCAGAATATAAAATAATAACAACATTTTAAATAAATAATGTCTATAGATGTATATCTGTAGCCGGTGGGCAGCTCTAATACATATTTGATATGATCTCGTGCCCCAAATATAATTAGATTGTGGGCCAAATTTGGTCCCCGGGCCTGAGTTTGACATGTGCAGAGAATAATAGAAATGATCAGGTTCCATATTTGGGAATTTACCTTTCTGGTATGTCTTGGTAAAGTATAGTCAGTGTTGGGGGAGTACAAATTATGAGTAACTGTATTCAGTTACAATTACTGTTTCAGTGAGTGGTAATTGGAATACAGTTACTTGGTTGAAATAAATGGATTACATGGTGGTATTTTCTTGTTTTAACATTTTGGACTAAACCAAGACTAAAACATGACTAAACCAGGACTAAACCAGGAAACCAGGACTAAAGGTCTAAAACCAGGACTAAACCAGGACTAAACCAGGTCTAAACCAGTAAACTAAACCAGGACTAAACCAGGTAAACTAAACAGGTCTAAACCAGGACTAAACCAGGACTAAACCAGGTCTAAACCAGGACTAAACCAGGACTAAAACAGGACTAAAACAGGATTTAACAGGACTAAATCATGTTGTGCGGACCGCGTCTCGTTCTCTTCTATTAATAATATTTTTAATACGGTTCAGTAAAGTCTGGGCTTTTTTTTTTCTTTTATCAGATAAAACATCTTATGTTACGATATCCTAGTCTTTGCTTCTCTACAGCAAATCAAGTAATCCAAAGTATTCAGATTACATTACTCACTTTAAATAATTTTATGGATTATGTTACAAACTATATTTTGGGATATGTAATCTGTAATCTGTAGGGGAATACATTTTAAAAGTCACCTTCCCAACACTGAGTACAGTATAATTAATAGGAAAGACTGTCTTTTGCTCCCATCTGACAGTATGACATCACTACATTAAAGGATCTGAAAACACCAATGAATCATAATAATGAGTCTCCAAAAGTGTGTGAAAAAGCATTAAAGGGTTAAGGTGGAGTTTCCCTGTTGAATCTCGCGGTATTTGACAGCTCCTCTCCGTCTTGACACTGGCCCCGCCTCACTCTGGGGGAATGCGGCCGTGTTTACATTCGTGTCTCTCGGGTCAGCAGCCTCCATCCATCCGGGAGAACGCACCGCGGCACCGACGGAGCTCCAGCGGCGGACACACGGGCTGCTGCTGACGGGAAACACGCTCTCATCTCCGGCCACAGCCTCTGCCTCTCACCGCGCCGCTCCTCCGCTCTCACCGACTCTCCCCCAAAAAGTTTCTACGCAGAGGAGGACAGGCCCGGGGATTATCTGCACGCAGACGCCATAGTTTTTTCACATTTACAGACAGAAAGAGAGAAAAAAAGTCCAAATAAATCCCCGTCCGCAGCGCCGAGAACACGGAGGATAGCTTTAGCCTCGGAGCGCCACTTCCTGGTAAGAGCCGACCCGCGCTAGCTTCTTTTAAACTTCTAAAACTGTACTCAACATGTCATTAATGCCTTGTGAAGTTATTAACAAGCTTATTTTCTTTTCATTCCCACTGTCACTCCCATGAAATACCAATGCGTTTCTATTTGCTCCAACGTTTCTGCTAAAAAAAAACAGTTTTGCTGGGAACTTTAGCGAGTTAGCACGACCTGTTGCTAACTTTCACTGCACTGATTTGGCACTGGCACCTTCTGCATGGCAACTTTTCACCAAGGTTTTAGGTCATTTGGCTTTTTCAAGGCTTCTATCGCGACAGAACATGTTGATAAATGTGTATGAAAAGCGAAATGAATACGCTGTGTCTGAAAAGTGCCCTTCTATAAGCTTTATTCACGTATGATTCATGTTGTTGGCATATGTTTGTAAATGTAATTCTTCTGTTGGCATGCACTGAGGTGTGTTTTTCAAGTGTTTTTGTATTGCAACTGATAATTAAAGGTCCTGTATTATGTAAAAATGACTGTTAAAATGTAGTTTCCTCCGCAAAAACAGAGCTGAAGTTGTGTTTTGTTTCATTCACACTTGTTTGGGGTTGTATTAGGATCATTTTTCACACTGAGATGTTTGTTTTCATACAGTTTGGACTGTTCACCAGCCGTCTTCCTCAGTCAGCTCTGAAAACAAACTCTTTATCTGAATAAATAACCTATTAACATACATTATTGTAAGACCAAATGTACCTCATTGGACACACATGTTTGAGTAGTTTTTACTCTGAGTAGGGTGTGCAGAAATATCAGAATATTAAGTGATATTGTATTGCATAATTTGATGATATAGTGTCAGTATCGTGGGCTGCTATATCGATATATCGGCAAGAGTATTTTTTGGTATATTTCACTTAGGGATGTAACGATACCCTCAGGATTTTCATCAGGTCTCAAACTGTAATGACAAATACTTTTACTTTTCAGGCCTGTTCAGTTCCTAAACATATAGTGGAGTAGAAAGTACAGAGACTTGCTTTCAGATGGAGTGAAGGAAGTATGTGCATGAACTACTAAATTTTGTTAAGTAAAAGTATCACATGAAAAAATCTACTTTTAAGTACCTGTTTAAAAATGTACTTAAAGAGTAAAAAGTAAGTATTTTGCACAGATTGTTAGAACAATAAGCAATGAAATTTGTGATTGTGATTTGGTGATTTTGATAAAGAATTCAGTGCTTCAATTGATTTCTTAATTTTTCTAGATGTTTTTTTTTATGTATTTTGACAGAAACTCAAATTAAATGTGCTAAAAAAAAGTCTAAGCCATTTCAAAGTACTTACTTAATTTGCCGTACTTACTTTTCAGTCCAGATCTAAAATGTAGTGAAGTAGAAAGTACAAGTATACATATTCTCAAATGAAGTGAAGTAAATGTAAAAATTAACCACTTTACAGAGTACTTGGTTAAAGTTAGAGGTGGATGAAGTGATCAGTTTTGTTAAGTAAAAGTACAGATACACTTGCTAGAAGTTACTCAAGTAAAAGTATCAATGAAAAAATCCACTTTAATATTTCTACTTAAGTACCTTTTTAAAAATATATTTAATGAGGAAAAATTAAGTAAGTAAGTATTTTGTACAGATTGAAAATCCAAATCTCACAGTACGATATTATCATGATATTCATTTCATGGTACAATATTTATTGCGATATTTCGATGGTTAATATAATAGTAGACAGGATACTTTTTGCTTTTAAAATACCTTGACAAGACTTGAAGTGTCAATACTATCATAATCCCAAGAATTCAAGTAAAAACATCTCTTCATGTTGTCTGTGCTGAAATGAATCATGGGATATGTAGTTCCCGATGTTTATTAGCTGTTGCTCCTATAAAACAATGCATTTAACCAAAAGAACTTGTAATTCGATATATTGTGACCGCTCTCGATATTATTTTAAGACTTCTGAAGATACGATATCACGATATTTCAGTTATTGGTACATCCCTAATTTTACTAAATTATGTAGTTACAGTGCTACGGTTTTGTTGCTTGTTTAGTGAAAGAAAACTCATTTATGCAACACATTTGACATTTTAACTGTTTTGAGGATTAAACTGGGTGTGTGTGTTTCATATGAACTTTGCACAAGAAGTGGTTTAACAAAGACTTCATATTACAGCCACAGTTTAGCATTTACTTTTATTGAACCGTTTCAAATCGATTGGAAATATATCGTATTGAGTTGAAAGTGCACTGTATCACGGTATGTATGTATCGTAGCCTATGTATCATATCAGCAAGTTCTTAATGATACCCAGTCCTGATCTTGAGTAACATTTAGTATTAGTCTGTCTACATCTCCAAAGCTCAAAATGCTCTGTTCCACCTTGTGATGTCATGAAGCAGCAATTTCAAAGTGAACATCTCCTTTTTCCTTTTTGTTTAGCAGATAATGCCAATTCCAGGTCTGAAATCATCCAAGTGATTCTCGTAGTGGTGTATGGAATTTAAAAACACAGTAGAGCCCTTCCTGCATTATCACATGACCTCACAAGGTGGAACAGTGTTTTTGTTTTGAGAGAAGAACTCAGCCTTAATATATGTGCAGATTTTGTGTGTTAAACCTGTGTGAATGAAACAAAACACAACTCCAAGTCCGTTTTTTGACGAGGAAACAACATTATAATAACATGGGTCAGAAAATCAAGTCATATGGACCTTTTAAGATTAGAAAAGTCAAGATTTTCAGCTCATAATTTTAAATTGTTGCATTGTATTCCAGTGTTTTGTGAAGTTTGTTAAGTAGGATAAGACAATTGAAATAGAATCATGCATAATAGAAGCAGTGGCACTTGTTTGCAAAGAGACTGTATTCAAAAATCTCCTCATTGACTTGACTTGTTGTTACAGTTGTAATTATCAGGCTGTCAAAAGAGTCACCCTGTTTGAACACGCTGTAAAAATGTCCTTATTGTTTCATTGTGACACTTTTAATCTCTTTTGGCAGTGTTTTCTTGAATTGTAAATGAGAGCAAATGGCACATACAGGCTGCAGAAGTGGGTAGATAATACTTTTCCGAGTACGTATCCAGTTGCATACTTTTACTCCTACTTGAGTATTATTTTTAGTGAAGTGACAGTACTTGTTTTCTTCCCACTGTGAGTAAGTCTGCAAGTGACAATAGCTTGAAATGATTAAAATATTTGTGTTTTTTGCAGTGCTCTTTATGATCTGATTTGGTTTGTCTCGTTTTTGTGTTTTTGAAAATATCTCTATATTTTGTGCATTATTTCATGTTTTGCCTCTTAAATTACATAAACTTTACATTATTAATCAGATGTTATGGCCTGACAGTGACCTCTTTAAGTTCTAATGCTGAATGTCTGTGTGAACGGCACAGGCCTGTGTGTGTGTGTGAAGTGTGTGACTGTTACTGGTGTGCAAAAGTATCAAAATATCCACATATTGTATCGTTTAATTTGCTGATACAAGACTGATATCGTGGGCTGCTGTATCAATATATCGTCAAGAGCATTTTTAGGTGTATTTTACTAAATGAATTTGTGTAAGTGCAACAATTGTGTTGATATTTTCACTGTTTTGAATTAAATACATGTTTTTCATATTAAGTGCACATACTTAATAAGCTCAATAAAGATTTTTAGTATCACAGTCATGATTTAGCCTTTGTTTTTCACTGCACCGTATTGAAATATATTGTATTGAATCAAACTGTATCGAAAAGCGCATCGTAACGTGGTCTATGTATCGTCTCTGCAACTTCTTAATGTTACCCGGTCCTGGTGACAGTGTAGCTTTAAAGGTGGATGTAGATGATATTGTTTTTCCTGGCATGTTCTACAGTATGGCATTTAATTTAACTATCTCCATGGAGACAAGCAGGGTACATCACCAGGCCAAGTTACAGGTCAGATCTGTGGAGGAGTGGGCCAACTCACAGTAGAATGCATGAGAGGAAAAAACAAAACAAAACTGTAAATGAATAAGTAGAAGATATATTTGTTTAATGCCATACTGTGGATACAGTGGAGTTTTAAATGAGATGAGACTGTAATACTGATTTTATTGACACATTTTCTAACTCAATACCTTTTAACATAATGCTAATTGGTGACAACATGTGAAAATTTTCATATTTTCCTAAAACCTGACCTATAACACTTTTATAAGGTTAGTTTTTGTGCATTGTCCTATAGGGGTGTGCAAAAATATGACACTATTTTTTGGTGTGTCTTTTTCTGTAACTGCACTACAATTTTGTTATTTGGTGGAATCAAACTTATTTGCAATACACTTGACATATTCACTAAGGGTGGGAGAAGATACAATTTCCACAAGACGAGACACGAGATTGGATCTACGAGTACGAGACAAGACGAGATTTTGATATTATTTAGGCTTTAATAAATACATTGCTTTTTGGAGACGTTCTCAAAAAAATTTTACGCACCAGTACTCGTAAAAATGTGAGTAGAAAAATCTCATGAGGTCATTTTTAGTAAGTGTGCACGATCTTGTGGCGAGATCTTGTCCCATCCCAATATTCACTGTTTTGATGAGTAAAATAGATGCGTGTCATATGAACTTTGCACAGGTAATGTTTTAACAAAGAAATATTGTTGTTAAAATCCATTTGGTTCTTAAAAAAAAAACAGAGTATCATGCGTTATATAGATTATCAGAGGTATCGTCATATCGTGATAATATCGTAGTATGTATCGAGTGTGATTCCAGCCCTACATTGATCTGTTGAAGAAACGGGCCATCAGGAAGTGTGCTGAAGTTGTAAAAGTCCATGTAAATGAAGCTGTAAAAGTGAAATAAGGGGGGTTCCTCTTTACACTATAACTTTTACAGTGGCAGATAAGACAGTAGTTTTATTGCAACACACTTGTGTTGTATTAAGTTATAACCATCAGGTTAACCAGACGTCTGCTTTCAGTTTAGTACTTGTGAAATCCGATCGGAACAATGTGTTTTATCTAAAAGA